TAGGAGGCTGTAGAAAACAACCTGTGGACATGAAAGGGGGTTAAAGATAACTGTTTAGCCCGGCGGCCTGGCTCAGTGGTTGAGCGTCGACCTATGAACCAGGAGGTCACGGTTCAATTCTCGGTCAGGGCATATGCCTGGGTTGTGGGCTCGATCCTCAGTGTGGGGTGTGCAGGAGGCAGCCAATCCATGATTCTCTCTCATCATTGATGTTTCTATCTCTCTCCCTCTTCCTTCCTCTCTGAAATCAATAAAAAATATATTTTAAAAAAAAGATACACTGTGTAGTCACTCCTTTCACCATCCTGGGAATGGAACACATGCTCGTAATAACTCAGGCAGCAAATAAAGTAAAAGCCTCCTATACCTCACGTTTCTCATCCGCATCTCATGCGATACTAAATGAAAAAGGCATGACTGCAATGAACTCACGTTTAACAAATAAAATATATCAACATATACTCGTAAGGGAAAGCCTGTGGGATTTACAATAAAACGTTAAGGTCGAGTAGGAAAGAGGGTAAGAAATTGCTGGCATTTTCCGAGTCATTTTTGGCTCTCCTGTGCTGTCCTCATTGGCCAACACGTGTCACCATTTGCAATCGGAAAAAACCCACGTGACAGTTAATGGAGGCCCCATGCCCCGCCTGCCACCATCTGCCTCCTTGCTTCCCAGGCCTCTCGAGAACATCAAGTGTCCTGCGAGGTCTTGGGCAGCTGGGGGTTTGTGTCAGGACCCGGGAGTGAGCCCTGGCTCTTAGTAAACATCCAAGGATGGAAGAGATTGGTGCCTGTGGTCCGGGGGCTGGGCTCCCTCCGGAGAAGAGTCCTAGATTGGCAGGAAGAATGCATGAAGCTAAACACACATCTGGGTACCTGGGCATCAGTCAGAATAAACGTTTTAAAATAACCAAAACTAACTCACGTTGGCTTAAGAAAATAAAAGGGGGGGGGGGGTTTATTGGCACATGTAACTGAAAAACCCAAGCCAGAGAGCTTCAGGAATGGCTGGATCCAGGTGCTCAAATGGTGCCTTCCAGAATCTTCCAGGCTCTGTTTTCCCCTGTCCTGGCTCTGCTCTGAGGCAGGCTCTCTCCGTATGGTGGCACGATGCCCCATCAGCAGCTCTAGGCTCATGCTCCCCTAGCTCAGCGACCCCCCCCTCCCCCAGACATAGGGCTTCTCTCTCCCCAAAGCTCCGGAAAAAGTCACCAGGAGACCCTGATTGGCTAGGCTTGGGTTTCCTGCCCACCCCTGAACCATGCCCTGGGTGCTGATTGGCTGGCCCTGGTTCACAAGATCATCTGGCCACCCATCGGATGGGGTCAGCGCTGCCAGAACCCTGGACTGAGAGGGAACCAGGAGTTGTTATCCCAGGACAGTGTGTGTGTGTGTGTGTTGGGGGGGGGGGGGGCTGTTCCCAGAGGGTGGGCTCCCCTCCACAGTGTGTGGAAGCACAAAAACGCCCTTTATCGGGAGGAAAGCTGGGTCCATCGGCACACCCTGTGCTCAGCTCTGCCGAAGAGCAGAAGAGGAAGCCCCACGTGGGGCGGGGAGGTCGAGGGGTGTCAAGGCGGGTGAGGAGAGCCTTGCCTGGGGACTGGGAGGCAGTTCAGGGCCGGTGCCCGGGCCCAGGGTCCCCATCAGTAAGGGGTTGATGTGGCGAAGCCCACGGGCCTCAGGACATAGTTTTGGAGATGACGGGCTCCCGCCGCCCCTCCCTTCCCACCGGCTCCGAATGATCTCTTGATGGAGCCCGTGCTCGGCTGCGATGCGTGCTGGCAGCGCGGTGATATCGTTTTTCCAGGCGGGGCCTGTTCGCTTGGCTGTCAGTGGAGGTTGGAGGCTATTTCTGGCCAAGACCGAGGTGGGTGAGCATGTGGGGGTGGAGGGTGTCAGGCACACTTGGGGGGGAAACCCGAGCCGGGCCTCCTGGAGGGCTGGTGCTGTGGGTGGGGAGGGGCCGGGCCAGGGGCCGCAGGAAGAGGCCTAGGCAGCTGGGAGAGGAGCTGGTGGGACTCCAATGTCCCTCCTCCCGGCACCTGTCCCCGGGCTGGTGACCTTTGACCCCACACCGCACAGAGTCCTGGGGAGAAAGGCGAGGAGGGATGCCTCCTCCTTGGTGCCCACCAGGTCCCTGCGCCTAAAACGGAGACGCAGTAACAAATCACGATTCCCTGAGTGAGGTGCCGATCTAAGTGTTTACAAGGATCCGCTCATCAAGCCTCACAACTGTGAGATCAGGTGTGGCCACTAGTCTCCTGGGGAAGGAGAATCTCAGACAGGTGAAGCGACTTGCCCAAGGACACACAGCCGGTGAGCAAGGGGGCCGCAGTCAGCATCTGGGCGCCTGGGAGGCCGGCCAGGCTGGGCTCCAAGGCAAGGAATGGCCTGGACGCAAGGGCTGGGTGAGCCGGAGGTGGGAAGAAACGCAATCACCTCGAGGAGGGAGGGAGGGAATGTGGAAAGGCTGGCCTTAATCCGGGCCTTCGAAGGACCTGCGCACCCTGGACAGGATGAAATGTGCAGGGAAGGGTTTTCAAGCAGGAGGGAACAGCATATGCAAAGTCACAGAGGCAAGCAAGTTCAGGGGGCATGTGGGACGGGCAAGCCGCCCGGCAGGGGCCTCTGCCAGGGCTCTGTGGGTCCTGAGGTCGCTGGAGCAGTGGGCTGAGGCGGGTACTGCTTTGCCCTAAAAGTATCTCGAGGCCTGGAATCCCCAGCATTTGCTGGAATGGCTGAGGGGTGGCTGACCTCTACCCTTTGGGTGATCTCATGGGTTGGGAAGCACAGCCTGGCAGCCTGGGGCCCCAGAGGCGGGACTGGAGGGCGCGGAGGGGCAGGAGCCCTGCTTCTCTCGGGCCTACATGGAGGAGTCCACCCAGCCCGGGCGGCTGTGGATGGGCAGGAAGCCGGCCATTCCTTCGCGAGAGCCCGAGGAGAATGGCCTCTGTGTGAGCCACAACAAAAAGGCCTTTCTGCCAAGTCGGAGGGGGAGGAAGCGGCCGGCTTGGCCCCTGCCCCAGCCTGAAAGGAGGCTCTGTTGGTGGCCCTGGGGTCTTCCCTGCCTAGAATGTGTGGGGCGGGAAGGCCAGGGTGGCTCAGCGGTTGAGCATCTCCGTCTCAGGGTGGGGAGGCATTGGGCTGCTGCGAAGTTGGTCCCTGTAGGTTCTAATCCCGGCACAGCCACTTCCTCGCTGTGTGACCTTGGGCAAGTCACTTCACCTCTCTGAGCCCCATTGTTCTCAGGGGTAAAATGTAAGTGGGGGAGCATGCACGTCGACTGAGGCCGCCAAATGCCGGGCACTGTCACCAGCACTGCAGCCACCACCTTCTGTCCATCTTCCCAGCAGCGGTCTGGTCCAGGGTAGGTGGCCTTATCCCTCCCACTGAGGTTTAAGTTTGCAGTATCTGGGCTGAAGCCACAACTCCACGCTGTGCGAACGCAGAGGGAAAAGGGCTGGAAGAAAACCCGCCCGGCTGTCCGTACTGGCTGAGGGAGTTTATGGGACTCTTCTTCCCCGTTCTCTTTATCTGTCGTGTTTTAATTGTCTTACTTTGGAATTAGCAAAATCTAAAGGAACAAAAGATCTAAAGGAAGGGATGGGGGCTGTGAGGGGCCCAAGGTGAGTTGAGGTTACAGCCGTGTTCATCAAAAAACCAGTTTAAAGATGCAGGCTCCTGTTTAATGCAGGGGCAGCAGGGCATCAGGCTGGGGCTGCCAGTGCCTGGGGCTGGGGTGGGGGGACTGGCTGGGGTGCTCCACCCGTCCCTCCCCAGAGACCCCCTTCACACAGCCGGCCCCCGAGGGATGAGGAAGGGGCTCCAGAGATGAGCTGGCTGTCCCTTCGGCCACTGGGTTTCTTAAGATTTTACCAAAGGGCTTGGGGGTGGGAGTTTCCTGCCGGGCTGACCCCTCCGCCAAGTCTCAGTGAGAGGCCCTTCCTCCTCCACCCTGTGCCCCACACTGCCTCCCACCTGTCCGGTGACCTAGGGCTTCTGGGTGACCCTGAGGTTTCAGCAGGAGGCAGACCTGGGTGGGGGTCCTGTGGCTTCTGCCACAGAAAAGCTTAGAAGATGGAGTCCGCCCTGGACCCCCAGGCCCTCCCCTCCCCGCCCCCCCCCAGGTCCCTGTGTGGGGGCGCACGCAGTTTCCAAACTTAGCCTGATGGGCCTTGGGGCTTCCTAGGGCCAGCATTTCCGACTCTCTTCAGCCAGTTTTCAATACAAAGAGAGGAAAGGGAGGGGTCAGGGGGGCTGGGGAGGGGCGTGCAGCTGTGGGGGAGGGTGGAGCCCGGAACAGGTTGAAGGACCCTGTCCGAGGAGTTGTGGGACCCACTGCAGCTGATCACTGCATTCCTGGGGGTGCAGGCTGGTGCCCGATAGGACGGCCCAGAAGACAGATGGGGCTGGTTATGGGGGGGGGGGTCCAAGGCTGACCCAGACTTGAGGGGCACTGCTTGTCCCCCGCTCTCCTGGCATGGTCTGCACCCACCCAGGCGAGCCTTCCTGCTGCTTCAAAGATGCGAGGGCAGATCTGGGGTGCCCCTCACCCTCCGACAGAGCATGAGGTGAGGGGAACGTTTGGAGTCCGCAGTGGCATCGTTTCCCATTCCTTCTTGACCAGGCTGGTCCTCGGGCTGCTCAGAGCCCAGCCTGGATGGGTGGCCTGGCCTCCCACTCCTCCTGGGTGTGCAGGGCGTGGGACGCTGGGCTGCCCTTTCTCGCCAGGAATGAATGACACATCTTCCCCACCCCTTCCTGTCCCACCCCAGCCCCCTGCCCCAACCTCCTC